GAGGGTATGCAGCAGTTCAACAGCTCTCTCCTACGAACTCATGCTGTCTTTGCTGAGGCACGCTCGGAAAGAAGTGAGGTGTAGCGGCCCGAACCCGAAACCCTACTTCAAGGTTCATGGACAGTTAGGGCTATCCCAAAATTAGGGGATATATGTATAGTTCGCCAACATATAATTACCCAAATGAACCTTCAAGCAAAGAGAGATGTGGCTCAAGGCACCTCTGCACCGGCAGCGATGGATCGCGGGAGCAGGATGCCTGGACAAGGCACCACTTGAAGCTTCATGGTACTTACTAACCACTTATAACTGTACTTATAACCCTACTTATAATACCCCCTAAAAGGGGCCTTATAGGGGTTATCCCAATTATAAGTAGGGTTATAAGCCCGGTTCTAAGTGGTTCTTAAGTCCCGTGAACCTCCAAGCCTGGCTGTGTTCCTGGAAAGCTCTACTGGCCTCCCAACCCAACAACCCCCCCACCCACCTTCCCGGACCTTGCCCGAAACCCTAAACGCTCAACCCTCAGTCCCAAACCCTAAACCCCAAGCCCTACACCCTAAACCCCAAACCCTAAACCCTAAACCCCCAAACCCTAAACCCTAAACCCTTAACCCACAAACCCCTACAACCCAATTGCCCTGGACAAAGACGTGAGGTGTCGCACCTCCGGTGCAGCACCGGGCCGCAACAGGTGTAGGTTGCAGGTGACCTGGGCCCAGGCCCTTTGATGCTGGAGGTTCGTAGTCTTCTGAACCCAATAATAGCTGCACTCAGAACCCAATTATGACCATACTAGGGCACTTAAGGGGCTCATAAGTGGGTTATGACCATAAGTACCATGAACCTCCTGGGGTCAAGGGTCTGGGGTTGAGGCTTTAGGGTTTAGGGTTTAGGGTTTGGGGTTCAGGGTTTAGGGTTTGGGGTTTGGGGTTCAGGGTTCAGGGTTTGGGGTTTAGGGTTTAGGGTGAGGGAAAGCCAAGGGGACAATCTACTCGAGGGGCCCAGATTGTTAACATATGGTTGTTTTTTTTTGTTTTGTTTCTTTTAACTTTTTTTTTTTTTTTTTTGGGGGGGGGGTGGGGTCACGAAAATAAGGGACCCCGAATATCAACCCCAAAATAGTAGGATTCCCTTATAAGAAGGAACTCATTCATGTACCCCGAATTTCGGCAACCCCAAAAAAGGAACCACAGGGGAATACTATTGGTAATTGCTCTTTGCAGTTCTCCCTAAACCCTAGGCCCTAAACCCTAGACCCCAGTCCCGGAAAAAACCTAAAGCCTAAACCCCAAGCCCTAAACCCTAAACCCCAAGCCCTAAACCCTAAGCCCTAAACCCTAAACCCGAAACCCCAAGCCCTAAACCCTAAACCCCAAACTCTAAGCCGCGCCTGTAGGATGGACTGGCCCACCGCCTCGTCCAGCGCCGCCTGCGGGGCTGCGAGGTGCGGAGAAGCCACTTGGAGGTTTAGGGTTTGGGGTTTGGGGTTTAGGGTTTAGGGTTTGGGGTTTGGGGTTTAGGGTCTTGGAGGGTTTACGGGGCCGATGTTCAAGGACCTGGGCGTTTTAGGGGTTCGGGGTTAGGCTTTAGGGTTTAGGGTTTAGGGTTTGGGGACTAGGGTTTAAGGGTTAGGGTTTAGGGTTCAGGGTTTAGGGTCTAGGGCTTGGGGTTGAGAGTATAAGAGTAGCTATAACCCACTTCGCCACTTCAACAGATGATTGGGATGGAAGTACAGTTCTCATAAGGTTCGTAAGTACCATGAAGCTCCAAACAGACTAACTTGGTATGTAGTTGTAGTGTAGCCAGGAGTCCTCAACCCTGAACCCTAAACAACCCTAAACCCTAAACCCTACACAACCCTAAACCCTAAACAACCCTAAACCCAAAACAACCCGCAAGCAGCACACGAAGTCACCGGGAAATTGGGTGGAAGGCCTCCCACAACCGCTCGAGGTGGGCGCGCTTCTTGTGGATTTTGCCGGCCTGGCGGATAATTGAGTTTAGGGTTTAGGGTTAGGGTTTAGGGTTTAGGGTTTAGGGTTTGGGGTTTGGGGTTTGGGGTTTAACAAAATTAAGGCTTAAGGGTCTAGCGGTTCGGGCTTCGGGGTCAGGGTGACTTCCATACGCTCTTGGTACTGCTGCATGCTGCGTCCCCTGCTCAGCTACAATCTTCTTGCCCTGTGCAGAATGGTCTTCGGCGGCATCCTGGTGCGTCTCAAGATCGGCAGCAGTCCGGGTGCTCACGTGGCACATATCGCACCTGTGCAGCTCAACGATGGCAGAAGTTTGAAGCTGGCAACCGTAACTTGGAGACCCCTCAACCCTGAACCATAAACCTTTAACAACAGACTCGAAACCCTCTACAACTCTCTCCAGCGCCTGGCCTGAAGCTGAAGGGGCCCTGCTTTGTCTGGCTTGGGTCACAGCAGTACCTTGCGGCACAATACTTCGGTACACCGAGCTAACTGCTGGGGTCCAGCACATCGACCACAAACCTAAGCTCTAGGGTTTAGGGTTTAGGGTTTAGGGTTTAGGGTTTAGGGTTTAGGGTTTAGGGTTTAGGGTTTAGGCTTTAGGGTTTAGGGTTTAGGGGTTTATGAGAAGAATAACGATCATACATCATGCGGGCTTCCCGGGGGTTCCGAGCACGCAAACCCAATAAGGCCCGAAGGCAAAAGGCCTGGAAGGTCTGGAGTCTCCTCCATCCTATCTCAGTTAGTGGCCGCACCTGCCTAAGGGTTCCCTATTTCATAGGGTTTAGGTTTTCAGGGGTTTAGGATTTAGGATTGAGGGCTGGGTAGGGTTTAGGGTTTAGGGTTCAGGATTTAGGATTTAGGATTGAGGGTTAGGTAGGGTTTAGGGTTTAGGGTCCTTGCTCCGAGCAATGATACGCACCGGCGCCTCCATGAAGAGGCCGCTTCCACGGCGGGCCTTGTGGCGCGGTTTGAGGCTTAGGGTTTAGGGTTTAGGGTTTAGGGTCTAGGGTCTAGGGTCTAGGGTTTAGGGTTTAGGGTTTAGGGTTTGGGGTTTAGGGTTAGGGTTTAGGGTTTAGGGATGCTGTTCAACATGTCAGCATTTAGGGGCCAAACCCTAAACCCTCAACCCTGTAACCCTTGACCTTTAACCCTTGACCCTGCCTGAAAATCTCGGTGTCCCGGTGGACGTAGAGGAAAATGGTTGCGTCCGTAGGCTTTACGGATGCATCTGCGCGAGAGGCACACTGAAATCACTCAAGACCAACCTAGGGTTTAGGGTTTAGGGTTCAGGGTTTCGGGGAAGCTTTCATACACCCAGTGATAGAGGAGATACGCCATGGACGACATAGAGCTTGTTCTCATCTTGCAATTCTCATCTTGCGAAGCAAGCCTAAACCGCAAACCGCCCTGCCCCCAGACCCTAAACCCAAAATTCCCTAAGCCCTAAACCCTAAACCCTTAAACTTTTCAAGGGGCTTGTGGGCTGGCCTCGATTCACGTTGCAGGGACCACCGTACAAGGAAGGGTACTCCGTGTACCTGGAAAGGTTCGACGACGAAATGTTGAGAACAAATGGGTTCCTCCATATATAGGGCTAAGAGGTTAGTACGAAATATTGAACTTAAAAATGGTTCCCCCATATGTAGGGCTTTTAGCGGCTTCTGACTGTGTCTTTGCAGGTGCGAGCTTCTATGAGTTGCAGCTGCGAGGTTGTGACATGAGCTCATAAAGGGGCAGATGCCTTACTCTAGAGAGACTGGGCTCTCTGAGCAACCACTACCATCTGCGCAGAGTCTTCACACAGGTTCCATGTCCCAAGCTTGACAACAAGACCAAGCCCGCCCAAGCCCCTAAAAGCTGCATAATTCTAGCCCTAAACCCTAAACCCTAAACCCTAAACCCTAAACCCCAAAAACCCCAAAAACCCCTGAACCCTGCAAACCCTTAAAGAGGGCACTGCCAAGGTATGGCGCCGATGAAGGCGAGCTGCCCACCGGCCCACTCCGGCAGGGACTGGCGACCGAAGTTTAGGGGTGGCTAGGGTTTAGGGTTTAGGGCTTAGGGCTTAGGGTTTGGGGTTTGGGGTTTAGGGTTTAGGGTTTAGGGTTTGGGGTTTGGGGTTTGGGGTTTGGGGTTTGGGGTTGAGAACTTAGGGTTTAGGATTGAGGACATAGGGTTCAAGGTTTAGGGCAGCAAGTGTAGTTTCCATACTTACTTATCACCCTACTTATAACTACCCATGAACCTCCTGAACCTCCCTAAACCCTGAACCCTAAACCCATGAACCTCCAAGACTGCCATTTCTCGGCTGCCATGTCTGCCTTCACTCAGCACTGCCTCTCTTTGGGTTTAGGGTTTAGAGTTTAGGGTTTAGGGTTTAGGGTTGAGGTGTAGGGTTTAGGGCTTAGGGTTTAGGGTTTCGGGCTTAGGATTCAGGGTCTAGGGTTTAGGGTTTAGGGTCTAGGGTCCCCTGAAAACTTCACAACCAGAAGTTGAAAACCGTGGGCCTCCAGCCGCCACCACGAGTATGGGTAGCAGTCCTGGCCGGCTGTGATGGGTGTACTGGATCTTGTCGCTGTTTCAAGAGAAAAAAAGAGAAAGAGAGAGAGAGAGAGAGACAGAGACAGAGACGGAGACGGAGACGGAGACAGAGACAGAGACAGAGACAGAGTCAGAGACAGAGACAGAGACAGAGCGAGCGGGATAGCGGGAGAGCGTCCAGGTATCAGGAAATCATCACCGCTGTATCCTGGGCACGAACATGCACGCGCTCGATCTGTGTTTCGCCAACGGGCAGATGCGGGTCGGTAGTGCTAAGGCGCTGTGTGGTAACCACACACGCTGAGGTTCCAGTACTTTGCCGGAACATGGATGACTGCAGCCTTTGTGCATGTCGTAGTTGCAGGCCCACAAGATATGACAGCGGGCATCGCCATTGACTTGAAGCCTACGTTCACAGAATCCCCTAAAGTCTCTGAGACCCTCAACCCTAATTAGACCCTAAATCCTCAAGGTCCCATCTCAGACGTGCAGCACGCTTGGCACGCGCCCGTCTGCGCGCCAGAAGTCCGGAGACTCAAAGGGCCTGCCCGGAGTCCTCACAGAGCCGCATTCTTCCCAAACCCTGCGAAGCCTTGAACTTCAAGCCTTCAAAACCTTGAATGCCGACAACGGAACCTTAAAACCCGAGAATGGGGCTGGTAGGTGCTTAGGGCTTAGGGCTGAGGGTGTAGGCTTGAGGCTTGAGGAGCCACCGCACAATCCACAGAGAATGCTTAACACGAACTCATTGCATGACATTTCCGAACTAGGAACCCTAAATCCTAAAGTTCTGAAGTAGGGGAAGCCTTGGCTTGCGTGCTTACGTATCGGGCGTCGATTGCATGAGGAGCCCAGTAGTAAAAAGGCGTCCTCGGCCCTAAACCCTAAACCCTAAACCCTAAATCCTAAACCCTAAACCCTAAATCCTAAACCCTAAACCCGAAACCCTAAACCCAAAACCCTAAACACTAGACTGAGCTCCCAGCTGCATCAGGCGCCGCGCGTTCGTTAACATGGACTTGTAGTCCTTGGACACTTGGGGCTTAGGGTTTAGGTTTTTGGGGTTTGGGGTTTAGGGTTTAGGTTTTGGGGTTTAGGGTTTAGGACGTGGGGGGGTGTAGGATGCAGGGTTTAGGGGGCTTGCTTGGTTTGTTGAGTTGCAGCAGCACTTGCTACTGCACTATACCGTCATCCATAAACAGACAGTAGAATCCCCCACCCCCCAAGGTGGGGAAAACATGTCTCTAGTCCCTCGATCATGGATATTCTGTCCACCTTAGGGTGCGGCATTTTCAGGCCCATTGAAGACTACAGGGATTTAGGGTTTAGGGGTTTAAGGTTTAGGGTTTAGGGTTTAGGGTTTAGGGTTTAGGGTTTAGGGTTTAGGGTTTAGGGTTTAGGGTTTAGTCCTCAGGTTGAGGGGGCTCCGGGATACGCCCGACCCTGCAAGCCGCGGCCCAGTCGCAGAAGGTGGGAGTCCCATGGGATCGAAGGCCTCCCAGTGACTTCTAGCCTAGGGGTTTTGGGTTTAGGGTTTGGGATTTAGGGTTTAGGTTTAGGGTTTAGGGTTTCGGGTTTAGGGTTTAGGGTTTAGGGTTTGGGATTCAGGGTTTAGGGTTTAGGGGGCGAAGGGTTTAGGGTTTGGGGGGGGCAAAGGGTTTATTTAGGGGTTCAGGGCCGTTGAGGGCGATGACTCTTGGCTTTGGGGTTTTGGAGTGCGGGGGCGTCCGCGCCCTACCTGAGGCAATGAGTCTACGGCAAGTCAGCAGGCAGGCGGTTGCGCATCTCATCGCTGTTCTGTGACAGCAATAATCATAACAATCAACATCATCATCATCATCATCATCATCATCGTCATAGTCAGAATAAAGATAATAACAGTTAGTAACAATAATAACAAAAATAACAATAATGACAATAATAACAATAATAACAATAACAATAATGATAACAATAATAACAACAATAATAATAGTAAGAATAATATTAATAATAATAATAATAATAATAATAATAATAATAACAACAATTACAAGAAGAAGAAGAATCACAATAATGATGATGATAATAATCATCATCATCAAAAAACAACAACAATAATCATAACAAAAGTCATAACAATAAAACATAGAAATAAAGCTAACAAGAATAATGACCCTCCACACCCTTGGGCCAAGCCCTGCACCACAGGTGCGGACCCACCTGCTTCGCTTCGTCCAGGCCGAAAGGATTCAGCCACCTCTGGTCCTGAGAGGTGCCCGCGGCACGCTGCGAGTTTTGGGGTTTAGGGTTTAGGGTTTAGGGTTTAGGGTTTAGGGTTTAGGGTTTAGGTTTTAGGGTTTAGGGTTTAGGGTTTGGGGCTTAGGGCTAAGGGTGCCAAACCCTAAAGAGACGAAGAACCAACACGCCCAGGAACCCTAAACCCTAACCCTAAACCCGAAACCCTAAACCCTAAACCCTAAACCCTAAACCCTAAACCCTAAACCCTAAACCCTAAACCCTAAACCCTAAACCCTAAACCCTAACCCACCCCGTGTGCCAGCAAAGGACGGTCTCGCCCAGCACTCCGCCACTTTGGGCCACAGGCGGCCTGGAAACTGCTGAGGATTTGGGCTTCAGGGTTCAGGGTTCAGGGTTCAGGGTTTAGGGTTTAGGGTTTAGGGTTTAGGGTTCAGGGTTTAGGGTTTAGGGTTTAGGGTTTAGGGTTTAGGGTTTAGGGTTTAGGGGTTTAGGGTTTAGGGTTTAGGGTTTAGGGTGCGGGCTGAGGGGTCAGGTTTAAGGTGTAAGGTTTAGGGCATCTAGTGGGGCTTGCAGTACATTGACTTCCTTGGGGTCAAGGCAGCCATTAAAAAAAAAACACACACACACACACAAAAAAAAAAAAAAACAAGAGAAACCCTAAGCCGAGGGGTTGCGACCCTCAACCCCAAACCCAAAACCCCAAACCCAAAACCCCAAAGTCTAAACAAGACGATCGAAAGTATGGCGGTCTGCGAATCTTGCACATCCGAAGACATGGCAGGCGACCCCGCGGAAGCCCTACGAAAAACACCCTAAACCCTAAACCCTAAACCCTGAACCCTAAACCCTAAACCCTAAACCCTAAGGGCCCCAATACGAACAACAACTAGAAGGGCGAAGAAACCACAAAGGCACCCAGAAGACTTTTGGTTACAAGGGGGCCCTAGACTCCAACACCCCCATACTTGCATGGAATTCCTCGAGTCCTACACTACCCTACCCTCTCCTAAGACCTCAACCCTAAACCCTAAAACCTAAACCCTAAACCCTGAACCCTAAACCCTAAACCCTAAACCCTAAACCCTAAACCCTAAGACCAAACCCGGGCATCACTCAGGGTACCCCTACAACCTACACCCTAGAAAGCTCTTGGCCTGGGAGCGGGCCCAGCGCCAGGGAAGTCCCCGGCTGGCGCCTGGCAGGTGCTTGGGGTAGAAGTCGGGGGGGTTTGAGGATTTAGGGTTTAGGGTTTAGGGTTTGGGGTTTAGGGTTTAGGGTTTAGGGTTAGGTGCTTAAGGGATCCGGGGCTTGAGGCACCTTGCGCATGTCCGGCTCAGTTCGAACTTCCCGACGAGGAGGCGCCTGAAGTGGGCAGGCGCTCTCCTTGGGCCTACACTGCAAACTTGCGGGCCTGAAATGCAAAGTGGAACGCAGAAAGGGTTTACGATACCGAAAACCGTAGCCTTTAAGTCAGGGAACAGACCCGAGTCTCCCCTTACCACTACATGTAGAGGCCCCAGAAGAGGAACCACAGCAAGGGTCCCCAAACCCTGAGAATCCGAACGGCGGACGAGCTGAACACTATGGAGCCGGCCTCTTGAAAGGTGTCAAGATGCCTGTCAGGAGCTTAGGGTTTAGGCTTTAGGGTTTAGGGGTCAGCTGTATCCCTTCTGTTCCACCGGGGGGTGGAGAAGGAGGGAGTACCCTAAACCCTAAACCCTAAACCCTAAACCCTACTTATGGCTACCCATGAACCTCCAAGTAGAGCAGGGAAGCCTCCGAGGCTGCTGGACGCGGCGAGTATCAGGCGGGTACTGCGACAGTGCCTCAGGAAGGCCATCCAGCAAATAGGGTTTAGGGAGGAGACTCTGCGACGAAGAGCCAGAGCCCGCAGTAGCTCGTACTACGCGTCGACAACTGGACAGCTGAAGCAACTCCCAACTTCCCAGAAAGCCCAGCACGCCCTGGTTCAAGGACATACCTTCTAACCAGGAGCACTGCCTAAACTGAGCTTTCTACCCCCTAAACCCTAAACCCTAAACCCTAAACCCTTAAGGCGTCTGGGGCTCTTTCAGTTCTTCAGGCTCCGACGGGGGCACTGAAGGGGACCCCGCCCCATTGTCGGGTGCCGGGCGGGCTCAGCCTCAGAGGACTGCGCAATTTAGGGCTCAGGGTTTAGGGTTTGGGGTCTAGGGTCTAGGGTTTAGGGTTTAGGGTTTAGGGTTTAGGGTTTAGGGTTGCGATGTTCCCCTTTATACTAACAGTCCGTAGTAGGGATTTGAAGAGTGGGTACTATATTCCCTATTAAGGACTCTTAGTAGAAGGGGAAACATGTCGAGTTTAGGGCTACTTACTAGCTAACCATTTCCCTTACCTGAAAATGAGGGTTGTTCACATTCTCAGCGTCCTTAGAGCAGGGGGGGCAAAAAGTCTCCTGTAAGATTCAGTTCCAAATCCAAGACATGCCCCTGCAATCGAGGAAAACCCTGCCCAGAGCCTGAAGAGCCCCAGACATCCTTAGTTTGAGTTAGGGCTTCCTAAACCCGAAACCCTACACCCTAAACCCTAAACCCTACACCCTAAGCCCTAAACCCTAAACCCAAAACCCAAAACCCAAATTCTATAAACCATGAATCCGAAGAAAATGCGAAACAGTCCTCACTCTCTCTCGCTCTCTCTCCCCGCTTCTGTGGGCCCGTGCTCACGGCGCAGCTCGTCGAGATCGCGACCACGTGCCTCGTTGGCTTAGGGGTTTAGGGTTTAGGGTTTAGGGTTTAGGGTTTCGTGTTTTGGGATTCAGGGCTTTCTTCAGGTTCCCAGAGACTCCAATAGGCCTTAAGTAACGAATATTCCTTAAACCTTCTAAGGAGCCCTCTCATATTTTAACGAATATTCCTTAATTAAGGGGTACTGGAGTCCTTGGGTTCCGGTTTAGGGTTTAGGATTTATGTTTCCTTAATTTAACTAAGAGGCACAGTTCGAAGGTTTTCTTGCACTTGGAAACTTGACGTCTCCTTGTCGGGGAGGCCTTTCTGACCCGTGGGCCCACCGCTGGGAACCCAGGAGTTGGGAAAAGTGTTTAAGGTTTTGGGGTTTTGGGTTTAGGGTTTAGGGTTTAGGGTTTAGGGTTTAGGGTTTAGGGTTTAGGGTAACCTGCGCAGATTTACTGGCAGCAGCAGTGACGGGTGTAACAGGAACCAGCACGCCAACGAAACAGGAACCGCGTTTCAGATGAGAAAGAACGAAGAAATAAAGGGAGCTTGAGGACTACCTTTATCCCCGTGCTCGCGGCGACGAACATCACCAGAAGGACCCGATCAACGGGATAAAGTCGATGCATGAGCGCACGAACTACCAAGCCGAGGAGCCGGGATCAAGTAAGGGGAAGAGGACGATATACTGGCCGGGGATCAAGGATCTCCTAAAGGAGGCGAACGCAAACGTGACCTGGATCGGAACTATAGCCGCTCCGAAGGAGTATGGAAACATCTCGGGAAGGAACCATCTAAGACGAAACAAGAACGGGGGTGTGACATGAAACAGAAACTGGACAGGCCTCCCCACAATTCCTGGTACAGCTTTGGCCGGAATCTTGCACCGCCTACCAACTCTCACTTACACGCACCCCCCCTTTAACACTGAGTACTGCCATCCTGCAGGCGGTGCAAGATTTATGCCATTGCGCCAAATATGCTAAACCCACTTTTTGGAACAGATGTTACAAGGGGGTGCGGGGCGTAGCTACTTCTGCAGCCTGAAAGTGGTGCAAGATTTCCTCCATCAACAGTAGTTCCTGAAACAGGTTCCCTAAACCCTAAACCCTAAACCCGAAACCCCAAACCCTAAACCCGAAACCCTCAGCCTTAAACCCTAAGCTCGAAACCCTAAACCGAGTTGCTGTCACAACCCCTGGTCCCGTCACAGCCTTGACTCAACCCGCCCCACATTTCCCAGATTGTTTGGGGCTGCTTCCGGGGAGGCCTTTAAGGGTTCAGGGTTTAGGGTTTAGGGTTTAGGGTTCAGGGTTTAGGGTTCAGGGTTTAGGGTCTAGGGCTTAGGGTTTAGGGTTTAGGGTTTATGGTCTAGGGTTTAGGGTTTAGGGTTTAGGGTTTAGGGGTTTAGGGGTTTAGGGGTTTAGGGGTTTAAGGGTTTAGGGGTTTAGGGGTTTAGGGTGTGTTGTGGTGTGCCCTATTTGGGGGCCTTGTAAGGGGCCTTCCCCGTAAAGGGCCTTCCCCATAAGTGGCTTTCCCCGTAAGAGGCCTTCCCCGTAAGCGTTGAAAACGAAAGGCTTCCCAAAACCGCCCCAATTTCAGTCAACTAACGCGATTCTGTCCGCTGTTTTTGCTGTCTACACGTCTCTTGCTTGTGTAGCCTTGCTTTCAGCAAACCTTGTAGAGTTTAAATGCAACTCGACTGGAGTTGGGCAGGTTCCCTGCCAAAGCAGACTAAAACTCAATCCTAGCTATGCTAGTTTTGGTGATAATGTTGCCGTGCGAATAACAAATGAAGACGAAAATTTCATAATATGAATAGTTAGACTAATAAGAAAAAGAAGCAGAAGAAGAACGGTAACCTTGAAGCAAACCCTAACCCTAAACCCTAGACCCAAAACCCTAAACCCTAAGCCCTAAACCCTAAACCCTAAACCCCCCAAGTTCCTCAGCCCTTGCGCCTCGCGCAGGCGCTTCAGCAGCTGCCTCGGTTGGGGGTTGTGGGCTCGGGGCCTCCTTGGGCTGTGGGGTTGCAAGGGCTTAGGAAGTTGAGGAGCTTTGGGGTGTTTTTTACGTCAGCCATGCGCCACCAACTGTACGTCTTAAGAACTTGAACCCTTTTGTGTCGCACGTCGGCGCAGTCTGCAGATGCCAGCGGAATCGGGGTGCTGTGTGTGTGAGTTGTTTGACTCCTAAGAAATCCCTCCTAGGTATGGCGGAGTGGTCGGGGTAGGTTGTAGGTGTACTGCTTGGGTGGATACCAAACTGAACCAGTACGGCCTGGGATGTCCTCTGTGTCTAGACTTGGTGAACTTAATCCTATCTTTATATCCTGGGCTGAAAACCACATGGTGTAAGGGGTCGTTGTGAGGGCTTAACAGGGCGTGTGTGAGTCGTTGTTGTTGAAAGGAGAGTAAGGTCTGTGAGGGTAAGACAAGGCGGTGTGTTTACGCCAAACGGTCTGGTTAGGAATATGGGAATAGTATGAGGACTTTGATGCCCATGGCGCGCCTTAAATACTGAAAGTACCAGCCATCAATGGATCTAAGGTGCTTGTCTTCTAAGGTAAGTGAGTCTAATCCATAAATGAGTACTGACACTATGTATGAGTGCAAAAGACGCGCTTTCGCTTTCCAGCAAAGCCTACTTCTCCACAGGTTTTGTAGTTTCATGTATGCCGCGTGTGCTTTGATTTTACGGGCCTCCATAGCATGCTTGGCGGTGCGTTCCCAGAATACTTGTGTGCCTAGATACTTGGCGGAGTAAACAGTGTTGACCTTTGTGCGATCTACGAACCTGACTTCCGGATCGGGCGCGTTAGGATGGATAAGGATTTCAGTCTTTTCTGTATTCAAGTACATTTCGTAAAGGGTGGCCTCTACCTGTGTGGCGCGGAGTAGCTCTTGAACTTGGGGGGTGGTGACGCCCATGAGCATAGTGTCGTCAGCATATTCTAGATCGTAGACTGGTTTTCCTATAGACCAGGTGTTGGTGGGTACTCCATGCGTTCGTAGCCTTACATCCACGTCAGGAAAGAGGACGGTCATGAGAATAAAAAAGAGGTAGGGACTAAGTGGGCATCCCTGACGAATGCCTGTGCGCAGAGTAGCCTGTACTGTCTCTCCACTGGGGCTCATTGTGGAGAACGTGGGTCTGTGTAGAAGTCTTTGATGATTGTGACATATTTGGGGTGTATTCCACAGTGCTCCAGAGCGATAATTAAGGCGGAGTGGTCGACCTTGTCAAAGGCCATTTTCCAGTCCAAGAATAGCATGTGGATTGGCTGTCCCGTTTTGGCGGAATAATCCTGTACCCGTCTGAGTATAAATATAGGATCTGAGGTGCTTCTGTTTTTTCTAAAGCCGTATTGGGAGGGCGTATGTGGTAGTCGTGGAGACGGGCAATCTTGCTTGTATAATGGCGGCGTAAAGCGTGTAAATGGTGTTAAGGAGAGCTATGGGTCTGTAATTTGCTGGGTCGGATGGGGATCCCTTTCCCTTATATATTCTGATGATCCTAGCTTGCTTCCATTCATGTGGGACTTTACCTTGAGATAGGCATTTGTTGAGAAGGCGGAGTAGGTGTACTTCTTCATAGTAGTTGAGAAGTTTTAAGACATCCTGTTTTAATCCATCTGGGCCTGGGGCTCGGTCTGATGTAAGTGCCCGTAAGGCATCCTGTAATTCTGCCATGGAAATGAGGTTCGACGGGGTCGTTTGGCGGGGGGTGTAAGGGAGGGGATTCGCGGAGTAGCTGAAGCTCTTCTTGCGCGACCTTGGAAGGTGCCATTGTACTGTAGCGAGGTGTGTGCTAAAGGCTTTGTGCGTCTGAGACCATGGTACGACTTGTTGTTGGTCCTTCAGGCGGTGCCTGCGCTCCCTAAATCCTATTTTGGCGCGGCGGATTTTACGCCGGAAAGGGCGGCGGTTTCCAGAGCGAGTAGCTTTGACCTCCACTCGTCTAGTGGCACTACCGCCAACAAGTCATCGATGACTTCAGGCTGGCGGCCGGCTGAGACCTGCGCAAGCGTCTCATAAAAGGCCGGCAGGTCGCAACGGCGCATCAGCAACAGCGACAAGAACTTTGCAACCTCAAGCGAGCCGCAGAAGGACAGGAACTCAGGTGTGAACTCGTAAAACGGATTCCCAGACTTCGTTTCCTCGTCCATTCGGTCTAATGTGTCTTGCAGCTCCAGGCACCGTTCCCAGAAAACGGGGTCGCGCAGAGCAAGCTCTGTCGAGGGATAGCTGAGGGGCTCATCTTCCCGCATTGCGCCAAGCTGGATTGCAAGCCCGTCGCAGAGGCGACCCGTTCGCCCAGCCCCCTGCAAGGCTTTTTGAGGCCAGACTGGCCCAATGGTCGGGCGGCCACGCTCATCAAAGAAGGCTAGGCCGCTGTCGACAATGCAATCGCACCCTTACGGAGTGATGCTGTTATCGAGGACCTGAGTGGCTACGGCGTTGGCATTGAGCCAAGCTGATGAGCTTCGATCGGTATTGCGGTCGATGACTGCAAAAGGGTGCCCTTCAAGCTCCACGGTGTCTGCATCTTTCTCTGCCATCCGACGAGTCGGCATTGCTCCGGTCATAGAGCAGAGTTGCAAGTGCCTGGGTGACGCTCAGCCCATACCAGCGTACATGCCGGATCGTGTAAGGAGGAGCGAAACCAGTGTTGTAGTAATCTTGAGGTTCCGCCTCGCACAGTCGAGCAATACGTGCTGACGGCGTGGCGCTCACGAGTACTTTATGCACCTTTGCAGGCAAGTGCGCAGCCACGAAGGCTATGCTTGGTTCCACTTCATGGAATTCATCAAGCACAACCAGGGTCCCGTCCAGGAGGTCATACTGGTTGTCGAACAGTGCAAGAATCCGTAGGTGAGGGTGTAATGGCCCTCCTCGCCGGGCTTAGCATCCCGATTGGCATACGTTAGCCCTGCTTGGGACTTGCAAGCCTGACGAGTCGGGAGCAGCCATAACAACCGCTTGTAGTACCTCAAGATCGTCATGCCGAATCCTGTCGTCTTGCCGGTCCCAGTTGGGCTGGACCGCCACATTTCGATGTTGCAGATGTCGGTACACTTTTATGGTGAAGTTTTCCCATTCGTAGCTAGGGTAGACGCCAGCCGTCCAGGTTGGAGTGTCCACCACGTATGTGAAGCTCGCCAAGGGCGTATCAACTTTAGTAGGAGAAAAAACTTGGTACACTTCTCGATTTGTGCGTGTCATCCTTGCGAAGGGGCCATGCTAATCTTCTCTGTATCGTTCCAGCTTTATCGGATGATCCCCGAAGAGAATCCAGCTTTGGGGTTTAGGTTTTAGGGTTTAGGGTTTGGGGTTTGGGGTTTGGGGTTTCGGGTTTAGGGCTTCGGGTTTAGGGTTTAGGGTTTCGGGTTTAGGGTTTAGGGTTTCGGGTTAGGGGGGAGGGGGGGGGTATTGCGAATACTCGAAAACATTCTCGGGCGATTCGTGAATTTGCGTTCGTGGGTTCGATTTTGGGCTGATTCTGAGGCGGAGGCTCTTCCCGTTGTCGCATCTCTGCCACGTCCAGCTGTGGACGGAAACCTGGCCACACTACTTGAGCATCTCCCACAACCGGGGTTCCCTTAACATACCCCCAAGTTATTATTAAAACCGTTATCATAGGAACCCCACAAAAAAAAAAGTACCTCCATTTTGGGACGCCCTGCACCCAGGCCACAAGTGCTAGCTCGATGCAGTCTCGGTTATTGTGTCAGTCTGGGAGCAGTTTGGGGAGGGGGGGGAGGATGCAGGTTGCTGTTGATAGTACTAAACCCTAAACCCTAAACCCTAAACCCTAAACCCTAAACCCTAAACCCTAAACCACAGCTCTTAATGTCGGCTGTTGTTCTTAAAAATCGAAGTTCGGGCTGCTGCGCGGGCCCCTCGCCTTCCAAGCCAACTCTGCGACCCCCCGATCCCCCACCCTATCCCCTACAGGGAATATCGCTTGGGGGATCTACAACTTGGCGTTTAGGGTTTAGGGTTTGGGGTTTGGGGTTTAGGGTTTAGGGTTTAGGGTTCAGCATCTCTGGTCCAAGCATTCACAAAGGGTTTTTGTCATCACCCTACGTGTTTGGCATCACCCCTCCCTCCCAGATCCCTCTTCATCTGAATTACATATCTTCTTTCTTACTTTAGTTGATCATTTAGCTCGCAACATTCTTTCTCGATTCGGCACCGTCTAGTCAATTCGGCACACGGATAATACACAGCCGCGTCGGTTTTCTGGGTTTTTTGACCAAAACCGAGCCTTCACCGGTTTCAGGATTTCAAGTTTTTCAAGGTTTTTTCAAGGTTTTTCAGAGTTTTTCAATGTTTTTTGCGATTTTTCAATGTTTTTCAAGGTGTGTAAGCCTCAGCTCTGATGAAATCCCGCCCCCGCGACCTTTTCACAGCCTAGTTTTGGTCAAGGGGGGTTGGCATTTTTCAATTTAAAGGCAAAATAGTCTTCGGAGACCCCCCCTTGCCTCAAACTCCGGCCCCCCCTTGAGAGGGAAAGATTGCCTCTAAAAACACCCCAAATGAGGGGGGGACCCCAGGATCGGCCCGGGTCCCTATTAAAAATGCGATTTTTTAGTACTGAAATCGACGGTCCTTGGTGGGCTCTCGTTTTCTGGGTTTTTTGACCAAAACCGAGCCTTCACCGGTTTCAGGATTTCAAGTTTTTCACGGTTTTCAAGGTTTTTCAGAGTTTTTCAATGTTTTTTTGCGATTTTTCAATGTTTTTCAAGGTGTTTTGGGGTTTTTAAGCCTCAGTTCTGATGAAGGGCCGGTACCGCGACCTTTTCACGGCCTAGTTTTGGTCAAGGGGGGGTGGCATTTTTCAGTTTTAAAGGCAAAATAGTCTTCGGAGACCCCCCCTTGCCTCAAACTCCGATCCCCCCTGAAAGGGAAAGATTGCCTCTAAAAACACCCCAAATGAGGGGGGACCCCAGGATCGGCCCCGGGTCCCTATTAAAAATGCGATTTTTTTAGTACTGAAATCGACGGTCCTGGGTGGGCTCTCGTTTTCTGGGTTTTTGGACCAAAACGCCCGGTTTTCCACCGGAATACTAAATTACCAAGCCGGGCTTCCCCCGAATACTAAATTACGAAGCCGGGCTTCCCTCGAATACTAAATTACGAAGCCGGGCTTCCCCCGAATACTAAATTACGAAGCCGGGCTTCCCCCGGAATACTAAATTACGAAGCCGGGCTTCCCCCGAATACTAGATTACGAAGCCGGGCTTCCCCCGGAAGACTAAATTACGAAGCCGGGCTTCCCCCGAATACTAAATTACGAAGCCGGCCTTCCCCCGGAATACTAAATTACGAAGCCGGGCTTCCCCCGAATACTAAATTACGAAGCCGGGCTTCCCCCGAAGACTAAATTACGAAGCCGTCACGCGCGTGACGCGCGTGACGCGCGTGAGTCGCGTCACGTGCGTCACGCGCGTCACGCGCGTCACGCGCGTCACGCGCGTCACGCGCGTGATCCTAAATCCTAAATCCAAACCCTAAACCCTAAATCCTAAATCCTAAATCCTAAATCCTAAATCCTGAATCCTAAATCCTAAATCCTAAATCCTAAATCCTAAATCCTAAATCCTAAACCCTAAATCCTAAATCCTAAATCCTAAACCCTAAACCCTAAATCCTAAATCCTAAATCCTAAAAACCCCAAACGGTCATAATCAGAACACGACCCCATTAAGGTTTAAATATACATAGGTAGAGAGGGTTTAGGGTTTAGGGTTAGCACGATGCACTCGACGGCTCTTAAAAGAAGAAAACTCTTCTCCCTCCACGCCACCCTGCGGAAAACCCCACACCGCGCTGACCCGCAGCCCTAACCCCAAAGCCTTAAACTGTGAACCCCAAACCCTCAACCCAAACCCTTAAACCCTAACCCCCAATGGCAAACCCCTGCACAAAGCCCAAACCCCAACCCCAAAAAAATGCTAAATCCCAATCCCGAAAGCCTAAAGCCCTTAAGTACCCTAAATGGGGTTCTAAATATGGTTACCACAATGACAACCCTACATACTACCCATGAACCTCCAAGTACACCCTGAACACCCAATAAACCCTGAACCCTAAACCCTAAACCCTATGCCCTCCTAAACCCTCCTAAACCCTCCTAAATCCTCCTGAACTCTAAACCCTAAACCCTGAGGCCTGCGGGGCCCAGGGCAGGAGACGAGCTGGGGGCCTATGGCCGCTTCCGTCAGCCGATGTCCAGGGGTGCTTATTTGGGGGGCTTTTTGGGTTTCGGGTTTAGGGTTACAGATTTAGGGTTTAGGGTTTAGGGTTTAGGGTTTAGGGTTTAGGGTTTAGGGTTTAGGGTTTAGGGTTTAGGGTTTAGGGTTTAGGATTTAGGGTTAGGGCTTTAGGGGTGGTTTGGGTGTCTGGGGGTTTGAGGGTTTGGGGTTTGGGGTTCGATCGAGGCTTGGCCCACCATGATGCGAAGCAGGGGGGTTTAAGGTTTTAGGGTTTAGGGTTTAGGGTCTATTGCTCAGTCTTTGAATATTGTCCTCTGTCTTTGGGGTTCGAGCCCTAGCCCGCCCGTGCAAGCGCTCTCCCGCCCCCCAAGCCCTTTTGTTGCCCCCCAAGCCCTATAAACCCTAAACCCTAAACCATCCCTCAGCCGAAGTCCCCGACCTTTCCACACTCAAGGGACTCAAGGAGGGACCTTATAAGGAACCTTAGGGGATATTTAGGGGTTCTTTGGGGGCACTTAGGTATATAGGGACTATAGGAGGTATACATGGGGGTTACCTAGGGGAATAAGAGTGGTCGTAGGGCTAAACCCTAAACCCTAAACCTTAACCCTAAACCCTAAACCCTAAACCCTTAACCCCGAACCACTCTAGGGGTCCCTCCTTTCACCCCTGCGCACGCTGGAGAACTGGGGGTACAGACCCGCTGCATCTCCAAGACCTGCACCAGCTGCCGGAGATCCGAGTTGGGCCCACCAGCCTGGCACCAGGAGGGTTCAGGGTTCAGTGTGTAGGGTTTAGGGTTTAGGGTTTAGGGTTTAGGGTTTAGGGTTTAGGGGTTTAGGGGTTTAGGGGTTTAGGGGTTTAGGGGTTTAGGGGTTTAGGGGATTAGGTTTAGGGGTTAGGGTTTAGGGTTGAGAGTTTCGGGAATTTAGGGGTTGAGGGTTCAGGGTTTCGGGCTTTGGGGACGAGGGTTCGGGTTGAGAGTTTCAGGGGTTGAGGCGCTTTTGAGGGTTTCAAAGTGAGAGCTTATGGGAGTGTAGGGTTTAGGGTTGAGAATTTGTCTCCGTAAACCCTCAACCCTCCTAAACCCTACGCCCTATAAACCCTGTAAACTCTACAAGCCCTATAAACCCGATAAACCCTTTAAACCCAGCAAACCCTGTAAATTGCGATGTTCCCCAAGATTATAGTCTCCCAATTGTAGTCCCTACAAGTGTTAAGGACTGTTAGTGTAAGGGGGAACATCCCAACCTGCACCCCGTACTAAGATGAGGTACCTTCTATCCCCCAATATATATATATGTGTATATATATATATATGTATACATACCTTAAAGGGATTATATAGGGTATCTCATTCCCTCATTCCCGACTGAGAACCAGCCAGTGCAAACCCTGACCCCTAAACCCTAAACCCTAAACCCTAAACCCTAAACCCCCGTCGCCCCTGCCCGCCAGCTCCACGTCGATCTTGGCTTGTCGAACGGCGTCAAGGCTCCCAGAAGCCAGCGCAGCCACCTGGGCTTTTTCGGGTTTAGGGAATTTGGGGAGTTTAGGGTTTAGGGTTTAGGGTTTAGGGTTTAGGGTTTAGGGTTTAGGGCTAAGGGTTAAGGGTTAAGGGTTTAGGGTTTAGGGTTTAGGGTTTAGGGTTTCGGGTTCGGTTTTAAGGGTTAGGGTTTAGGGCTTAGGGTTAGCTTTTAGGGGTTGGGATTAGGGCTAGGGTTTAGGGTTTGGGGTTAGGGTTTAGGGCTTGGGGTTTACGGTTTAAGGTTTAAGGTTTAAGGTTTAGGGTTTAGGGTTTAGGGTTTAGGTTTAGGGTTTAGGGTTTAGGGTTTAGAGTCTTTTCAGGATGTCCTTTTCGGGTTTAGCGCTGCCTCTCTCCTTGCTGAGTCCCGAGCAGCCTTCTCGTGGGCGATGCTTCGGCTCCTTACCATGTGTCCCGATCCAAGGAAGACGTTTAGGGTTTAGGATTTAGGGTTTAGGGTTTAGGGCTAAGGGTTTAGGGTTTCGGGTCAGGGTTTAGGGCTACTGCGGCGACAAATGACCACTTCGCAAGCTTGGCCAACGTTCACGGTTCAACATGCTCGCCCCTTCCGACATGGGACCGAATTAGAGAACCTACCTGGGCCGCGGAAGTGCGACACCCAGCTTGGGGGCTTGGAGGCTTCTAAGATGTAGGGTTTAGGGCAAGTTTAGGGTTTAGGGCAAGTTCAGGGTTCCTACACTAGGGAGGATTCAATCCACTGCCAAGCAACTCGGCGGCTGTCCGCGCGTAAGCACAGATCTCGGGTGCGAGGCCTGCGGTCCGTGCAACTTCTCTGGCCATAATGCCAACAGAACTAGGGATGACGGCGTTGAAGCCTTTGTTGATGGGGATAGAACTGACAGCCACCTGTCAGTGCTTCTCCACTAGGAGGTCTCAAGCATCTCCACTAGCATACCACCACAATTCCGAATATTCTCAGGCCGGATCGCTGACGCCCGAACACTCCGACAGCCCAGAGCAGCTGCAGAGCAAACCCACAACTATAACATCTAGGAACATCCCCTGAATCCAAAACCCGGACCGACGTGAGCCCCTGAACCCTAAACCCTAGAACCTAAACCCTAAACCCTAAACCCCTAAAACTCCAAAACCCTAAAACCCTAAAACCCTAAATCCCTAAAAACCTAAAACCCTAAAACCCTAAAACCCTAAAAAACCTAAAAAACCCTAAAGCCCTACAAGGGGGGAGGTTAACTCACATCTTCGCGTGTGAAGTCACATCTCCCCAGTGACACGCGGCTGCGAACGAAGTCACATCACCCCGCCTAAAGTCGCATCACAGAGACATATGTTGAAGCCTTTACCCCAATGTGCACGCGCCGCACGCGCATGTTCTGGACACACATGCAAAATACGCACTTGTCACCGCACGCCTGGGAGGGGAGCACGTTTTTGTCAGCGTGAATGAGATTTCTGCTTGGGGGTGCAAGTGGGTTCTGACCAAGCTTGGAATTCGCGAATCCCCAGTGTGCACGCGCCCGAGATACGACTTTACACAAGAAGATACGACTTAACCTACCCGCTTGTAAAACCCTAAAACCCTAAAACCCTAATACCCTAAAACCCTAAGACCCTAAAACCTAAACCCTAAACCCTCTTCCAGCATCTTCCATGACCCTTGCCTGCAGCAGCCGCCACCTCGGCCGCCTTCCGCAGGGACTCCGGCGCACTGCCACCTCAAGCAAACCCCTACAGTTTAGGGTTTAGGGTTTAGGGGTTAGGGTTTAGGGTTTAGGGTTTAGGGTTTAGGGTTTAGGGTTCAGGGTTTAGGGTCTAGGGTTTAGGGTTTAGGGTTTAGGGTTTAGGGTTTAGGGTTTAGGGTTTAGGGTTTAGGGTTTAGGGTTTAGGGTTTAGGGTTTAGGCAAAGTTGGAACATCATTCATTCTCCTGATACCCCAAGAGGGCTGCTAAAGGGAATCCCAGCACTAACCGTCCCTCGACCATGTGCCAGCTTTATGGAGTTTACTTTACACCCTAAAGCCACCACTCAAGGCATCGCTCAAGCTAGTCTAGGGGTCGGAATAGTTACCAATAGCATGCCCTGATATAATCCCTTGATAATATACTGTAAGAACCCCCCAAGAACCGCATTCTAATTATTGAGGCCCCTGTACTACCACCGGTCTGTAGCAGAAATATACGAAAAAGACGGATGAAGGTTGAGTCGGTTACAAGTGTCGGGAGCGGGCCGAGGGTGTGTTGGGAACAGGGCGCGTGTTGGGAACTGGGCAGGCGTGAGTCAGGAACGCAAGGGGGGTGAGTCGGGAACAGGGCCCATGTGTACAGCACGCCCGGGGGTTGAGTTGGGAAAGGCTGCCCCCCAGAATTGGGTCTCGGAGTGATGACCCTACTCTGCAGGTTTGTTTTAAGTCCTCTTTCGACGACTTGGAGTTGGGTCTACAGTCTTCTTTTCAGCTTCCAAAGGGGAGACTTTACGAGGCGAACACATCCGACGTGCCATGAACCCGCACACCAACACGCCGAATTGGTGTGCGGGTTCATGACACGTCGGATGTGTTCCCCTCGTAAAGTCTGCCCTTTGGAAGCTGAAAAGAAGACGGTAGACCCAACTCCAAGTCGTCGAAAGAGGCCTTAAAACAAACCTGCAGAGTAGGGTCATCACTCCGAAACCCAATTCTGGGGGGCAGCCTTTCCCAACTCAACCGCGGCGTGCTGTACACATGAGCCCTGTTCCCGACTCACCCCCCCTGCGTTCCTGACTCACGCTTGCCCTGTTCCCAACACGCACCCCCCCCTGTTCTCAACACGCGTGTGCCCAACACACCCCAGTTGCAACCAACACGACTCACATTCACGAAAAAGAACCCCAAAAACCCTGTTCTAATTAAGGCACCCCAAATTCCCACTGGTGTGTAGCCCCTATAAAACTCCTTTCATAAATGTACGGTCAGAACCCCCAAAAAATCTTCTTCAAATTATTAAGGCCCCTATATATCCTATATTACGTAGCAGGGACTCTAGGAGGTTGCAAGAAGCCCCGGCCTGCCAAAAGCGTTTGCAGCAGCTTCGACACCTGCAAAACGGGGCAGCAAAGTGGCCATCCAGCGCCCGGGGGGCCCATGGGTTTAGGGTTTAGGGTTAGGGTTTAGGGTTTAGGGTGTAGGGTTTAGGGTTTAGGGTTTAGGGTTTAGGGTTTAGGGTTTAGGGTCTAGGGTCTAGGGTTCAGGGTTCAGGGTTGAGGGTTTAGGGTTTAGGGTTGAGGGTTTAGGGTTTAGGGTGAGATCTCAGCCTTGTCCTGCATGGCCTTCTGCTCGGCTTCGGGCACTGACGGGCTTGTCGGGGCAGGCAGGGCAGCTGGCGAGGCCACCAGCGAGGCTGCCGGTGAGGCTGCTGGTGAGGCGGGCACCCTGGCCGGTGAAGCCTGCCAAGGCACATTGGGTTTAGGGTTTAGGGTTTAGGGTTCAGGGTTGAGGGGACGCTGCCAGCAACGAATGTCAGAAACAAATCTTTGATCGAGACCTGCAGTGACGGCTTTGGCGAAGCAGCCGGGGTGGCTTGCCTGGCGTCACCAAAAGCGCGCGCGCGCGCAAAATTGCGAGAAAGACACGAGCACTGAGGCCCATAGACCTTGCTGCAAACGGTGATGTCTGCGGAACGCTGTCTGCAGCCACCTGGACACCGCACGTGAACATCAGGAGCTGCAACATCCGGACATGTGATACCCTAAACCCTAAACCCTAAACCCTAAACCCTAAACCCTAAACCCTAAACCCTGAACCCCTAAACCCCTAAACCCTAAACCCTAAACCCAAACCCTAAACCCTAAGCGGGAGTGCGGCCTGTGCAGCCTGCTCCTGCTGGAACTGCGATGCCTGCATCGATACATCAACCAGATCCGTCTCATACGAGGTTGTTCCCCCCTATACTAACAGTCCTTAATGGAGATTTTTATAGTACTACTCCCTAACAACCCCTTTTCAGGACTGTCAGTATAAGGGGGAACATCCCAAGGTACAACCACTTTGCGCCCAGGCCTTGAAGAGCGTCTGCTCGGCCTGCAAGGAAGGAGCCAGGGGTGCTCCCCCAAGTGTGTGAAGGATGTATCTAGCTGCATCTGGGGGTTTCCGACAATAGGGGGTACTTTTGTTGGGGGTTCCTTTTTAAAAAAGGGGTCTATAATATTCTAGGGTATATACGGGGTATCCCTATTTTCGGAAATCCCCATCTGGCTATAGCATCCAAAATGGAAGTCACATTGCCAAGTGGTATGGTTGACGGAATCAAGTTGCGCATGGCACCAAGACCGTGAGTACCATGAATGACATACCCTGAACCCTAAACCCTAAACCCTAAACCCTAAACCCTAAACCCTAAACCCTAAACCCTAAACCTTATATATATATATAACACAAGTCTCCCAGCTCATCGGCACACACCTGGACGAGCTCTGCTGGGCTGAAGCCCGCTTCGCGAGCCTCGCATGCCGCACCGGCGTTCCATTCCCAACAGAAGGCTTCAGACAGCACCCTAAACACTAAACCCCCAAAACCCCAAAACCCTAAACCCTAAACCCTAAACCCACAGCTTCTGGAGGTTGCTGGGGTTGAAGGAGCAAAAACGAAGCTTTCGGGTTTTTGGGGGAGTAGGGATGCTGGGGCTTCTAGATGCTGCAACAATGAGCCCCCAAGAAGCCCCCATAAACCCTATAGTAGGCTTTGTGGGGCTTATTGGGGCTCATTGAACCCCAGTAAGCCCCCGTAAACCCTATGATAAGCTTTATGGGGCTTATTGGGGCTCATTGAACCCCAATAAGCCCCCGTAAACCCTATGATAGGGTTTATGGGGCTTATTGGGGCTCATTGAGCCCCAATAAGCCCCCGTAAACCCTATACTAGGGTTTATGGAGCTTATTGGGCTTCCCTAAACCCTAAACCCTAAACCCTAAACCCTGTTGCAGCATCGCTGCATTTAGCATCCACGGGAGCCACTCGTGTCGCTGTGGCCTCCGTCAGTACCGAGCGTAGCCTGGCCGTTTCCTGCATCGGCACAAGATATTATTTTTTCAACCTTACAACATTTATGACTTGCACTAGGGCTGCTGATAGCATCTCGTCGTCTACGACTCCTCCTCCTAGCACTAGCACCACCACCACCACCACCACCACCACCTCCCCTACCACCTTTCCCTTGGCCGTTGCATCCCAGTCCTCTCCCAGCATGGGATCCTGGCTCAAAAAGCAAAGCGCATTGCGACGAACAGCTAAGCTGTACAGGGGGCCCGGCAGTTCAGGGTTTATGGCATACGGAATAGGGCTTGGAATGTAGGGCTTGGAGCACTGGATACCCGAGTCCTGTGTGTTGAGGCGTGCTGACACCACAGACGTCGCGGCTCTCAGGGACTCGCGTAGCTCAGCTTGGGATGCCCCCCGGTGCGCCTTCACGGGCTGGGGTGAGGCAAGCAAGCAACAAACACGAAGCTTTGGGATGTTCCCCCCTGATACTAACAGTCCTTAATAGGCTAGGGATGATAGTACCCCCCTTTGTAGTCTGAGTTAAGGACTGTTAGTATAAGGGGGAACATCCCAACACGAAACCCTAAACCCTAAACCCTAAACCCTAAACCCTAAACCCTTCTTTTGTGTACAGCTCCATGTCACCTTTGACCTTTACCATGCCCCGACTGCCTTTGTTTGCTCAAGCTCTTATTTGCTGAAGTCCTCAAGGCTGTCATAAGTTTGTGTATGCATCCACTTTCTCAATATCTTATGTATGTACATAAATTGTAAGAGACGGGTAGGGCTCTATATGGAACCAGAGCGCGAAGCATATAGCAGAAGAAGATTACACAATACAAAAGAAACGCAGCGAACCGAGGACGCCTCCTCAAGCTTGCGCTCTGCCTCCTGAACCAGGTCAGGCTCCGCCTGCCCAAGGCAAAGGCAGCCCGAGATGCTTCGGGTCTACGTGCAGGCTCATGGATAGGATTTAGGGTTTAGGGTTTAGGGTTTAGGGTTTAGGGTTTAGGGTTTAGGGTTTAGGGTTTAGGGTTTAGGGTTTAGGGTTTAGGGTTTAGGGTTTAGGGTTTAGGGTTTAGGGTTAGGGGATATGTGTACCGTATATGCTTAGCGTTATATAGAAGTAAAGCCACCATGCTTATGGCCCTTCTGACAACTACCCATGAACCTCCAGTAGGGTGGAGGGTAGGGAGGCCCTTGAGGGCAGTTTTCAAGGGCCCTTCATACAGGCCATGAATTTTGAGGGAGCCCTTTTAAGGGCTCAGGGTTTAGAATTTGGGGTTTGGGGTTTTGTCTATGGAACTACTCTTAGAACAAGCCCTAAACCCTAAACCCTAAACCCTAAACCCTAAACCCTAAACCCTAAACCAGAACTTGGGGTTTGGGGTTTTGTCTATGGAACTACTCTTAGAACTAGCCCTAAGTTGCTAGGTCCTAGGATTCGGCATGGTGGGGTCTACCATGCCGAGACCTACCGCAGCGAAGCCGTTTGGTCGATTCTTCCGGGGCGTGAGCCCTTGGTCTTTTAGGGTTTAGGGTTTAGGGTTTAGGGTTTTGGGTTTAGGGTTTTGGGTTTAGGGTTTTGGGTTTAAGGTTTGAGGCTTACTTGCTATAATCATGGAACTGTACTTGCAACCCTATTTAGGGCACTTATCACCCCACCCAAAACCCTAAACCCTAAACCCTGAACCCTAAACACTAAAGCCTAAACCCTAAGCCCTAAACCCTAAACCCTAACCCTGAACCCTAACTAACTACCCATGAACCCCCCAAGTAGGGTTCTCACCTCATCCAGTCCGCAGGACTTGGCGCCGTGCACCGCCGTAGCCAAGAAGTGCAAGTCCTGGCTCCCACAAGCCCTAAACCCTAAACCACCCTAAACCCTAAACCCTAAACCCCCAAACCTAAACCCTAGCCCTAAACCCTAAACCCCCAAACCTCAGCCCTAGACCCTAAACCCTCCTCATTCCCTTTTGGGATAGGCGGGCCTTCGGGCCCTTGGGGCCTAAGTTTCCACAGCATGTGCTTGAGTAAAGAATGGGGGGTGGGTGTCTCTGTTACGATGGCTTAGCCCTAAACCCTAAACCCTAATCCCTAAACCCTAAACCCTAAAGTTCCTTGACAAGAGCTCAGTCAAGTCGGAGTCCGAACAAGTCTGCGCGTCGAGTAATGCCCTGGTTGCCCGCACCATGGGGCCATTGAGATGAAAGAGGCTGAACTCTCAGGCCTAAAGCCGATTTGGGGGAATAAGGTTTGGGGTTTAGGGTCTGGGGCTTAGGGTTTAGGGTTTAAGGTTTAGGGTTTAGGGTTTAGGGTTTAGGGCTGTTTGCAGAGTTTGCAGGGCTCGACAAGCCAGGTGTACCGGCTGGGAGCTGCTCATTGCACTGGTCAGCTGTCGCTTGGCCGCTTCCTGGCTACTATAGGGCCTAAATGATTAGAACAGGGTTTTGGGGGTTATCACAGTATATTTATACATATTTATAAAGCGACCGTAAGGGAATACTATGAGTAATTATTCCGACCCCTGTAAGAGGATGCATAGCTATTACAGGGCGCGCGGCTTTTAGAGTTTGGGGTTTGTTTATTCTCAACATGCACCTTCATTTTGAGAGAAGCTGACACCCCTTCCCACATGCCCATGCCAGCAGCAATCGCAACGAGGACCGACGGTCACCACTCCTGCTCTCGCCGCAGGCGGACAGAAGCGGTGGAGGTCGCTGACCTTGGGTACAAGTCGCTCCTCTGTGGCGGGAGAGGGTAGAGTCTAGAGAACTGCACACAAACAGATGAGGGCACGGCTTTCCACCTGCAGGTGACTGCTGGGCAATCGCCTGGCCGCCAGCTGTAATTCATCAGACAGAAGCTCTCGCACCAGGAGGGGGTAGGGTTTTAGGGGCTCAGGGATGTGTCGAGAGTTTTGTTTAAACCCGCTTCTGCTCATGAAGCGTTAGGGTTTCGGAGCTTAGGATGATGCCTACAGTGCAATGTGAGTACTTCTCTAAATCGGGTCTCTTGTTGGGGATCCCGTTTAAAGGGTGCCGCCTTTAGTGGGCACCCAGAAAGGTGCCCGAATTTAGGAAACTACCCATGCAGTGTTGCCGGGCAGAATCCTGCCTGCACTGGAGAGGCTGACGCATCAGGCCATGCAGGCTCCTTAGACAGTCACGGGATACCCAAGCAGGTAAATGCTTCAACCCCGGGTCGTTTGATCAGTTCTTTAAGTTCTCTAAGTCATGGGTTTTTTTTGGACTCCCGGTTACAACACAGAGCTTCATGTTTAGGGTTTAGGGTTGAGGAAACTGCCCATGTCACAAGATGCCAAGGTTCCGTGTCGCCCACGGCTTTGGGCCAGGCGTCGAAGCGTGGGGAAGCTGCTGCAGGCGATTTGCCCGAGAGGCTGTTCCTTAGGTCAATTGCTATTGCTTTCATCCTATATCGTCCTGCACAAACCTCTGCGCCCTGGGAAAAGTTGAAAGGACAAACCGTCCACGTCCAAGGGGCCGTTTGCCGACTCCGGGCGACGAGGCCTGCATTCGCTTGCTTGGGAGCAACTTGCCCCGAAAACACGCAAACTCCCCCAGAAATGACTTCTGAACCATCTTTCGGGCTCGAATTCTTAGGCATGTCAATCAGGCTACCGCCGAGGTTCTGAGCCACGCCCTGACAACTTGCTGATGGTTGAAACGATCCCTCCTTTGTGGCACCTTTTTTCACGGTGCCCTCCCTTCATCCTCATAATTCTGCAGCCCTGTCAACGCTTTCGCTTCCACTGGGCGCCTGCGCTGCCGGCCACGAGTCCGTTCCTGTCTGGGTTGCCTTCGGTTGCAGCTTCTGTCTACAGGTCCGCAGGAAGCATGCATTGACAGCGCTGCCATCACTGCAGTCGGGCTCTGCTCATCACTGCAGTCGGGCTGCGTTGACTCCGAAGGGATCGCCCTTGGAATCACACGAGAAGGGCAGGAGCGCACAGAAAGGGTACCTCTATATTCGAAACCCCCAAAAGGCCCCCATGAACTGAGCTTCCAGGCCCGGCAAACCTACCGGAACACACTGACGTAGTTGTTTTATGAGGCAGCCATAGCCCCTAATAGAGGAAACTAGAACTGACCCAAAAAGGAAGTACATAACTGTAACAGACCGGAAAAAGACCGGAAAAAATGAATTACATAGCTCTCACGGGCCTACCAAGCAATACATGACAGTCTTCAGATACCTAAACCCTAAACCCTAAACCCTGAACCCTAAACCCTGAACCCTAGGCCCTAAACCCTAAACCCTAAACCCTAAACCCTAAACCCTAAACCCTAGGTGGGTACTGAGGCTCCAGCCATCCATGACCGGAGCGACTGCCAGGGATCAGCTGCCTCGGAGGTGATTCAGTTTAGGGTTTAGGGTTTAGGGTTTAGGGTTTAGGGTTTAGGGTTTAGGGTTTAGGGTTTAGGGTTTAGGGTTTCGGGTTTAGGGTTTCGGGTTTAGGGTTTAGGGTTTAGGGTCTTGGGTTTAGGGTTTAGGGTTTAGGGTCTTGGGTTTAGGGTCTCGGGGGGCAGGATTCAGGATTAGGGTTCAGGTTTAGAGTTCGGGTTTAGGGCTCAGGGCTTACACGGTTCAGGACAGCGGAAAGTCGGGCTTGGTTCCCCAAACCTAAACCCCTGAACCCTAAACCCTCAACCTCAAACCCTAAACCGGGATTGGGGCCCCGAACCATATCAGCACTAAGCCCCCATCTAACCCTACAAACGCCCTGAACCCCTAAACTCCATAAACCCCTAAGACACCAAAACCCAAAACACCCGAAACCCTAAGCCCTAAGCCCCAACACCCTAAACCCCCTAAAGCCTCTAACACCCTGAACCCCGAACGCCCTAACCCACTAAACCCCTAAAACCCCCAAAGCCCCCGAAACCCCTGAAACCTCGAAACCCCAAAGTCCCCAAAACACTGCAACCCTAAAATCCCAAAACCCTAAAAGCCCTAAAACCCCGAAAACCTGGAACCCTGAAGCCCTCGGACATGTGTGCACCCTAAACCCTAAGCCCCCCGAGAACCCCGAAAACCCGAAGACCCTAAACCCTAAACCCTAAACCCCAAACCCTAGATCCTAACCCTAAACCCCAACCCTAAACCCTAAACTCAAAACCCTAAACCCTAAACCCTAAATCCTAAACCTACACCCTGAAGCTTCGGAGATGTGTGCAGTCTTGGCTTGGCGCCTGCCCAGAAGCTCCCCCAGCCGGGGATGCCGAGGGTGGACCCTGGCGCCCGCAAAGCTCCCAGGGTTTAGGGTTTCGGGTTTAGGGTTTAGGGTTCAGGTTTTGGGGTTTAGGGTTTAGGGTTTAGGGTTTAGGGTTTAGGGTTTAGGGTTTAGGGTTTGGGTTTAGGGCGTGTAGGGTGTGTAGGGTGAGTGGGGTGTGTGGTGTGTGTGTGGGGTGTGTAGGTGTCTAGGGTGTCTAGGGTGTAGGGTGTCTAGGGTTTAAGGTGTGCAAGGTTCAGGGTGTGTAGGGTTGCTTTGACCCTGTGGAATCCGCTGGTCCCAGGGTCTCAAGAGCAGGCTTGTGCCCTGTTGGTTTAGGGTTTAGGGTTTAGGTTTTAAGGTTTAGGGTTTAGGGTTGAGGGTTTAGGGTTCAGAGTTTAGGGTGACTCAGCCTGTGCCTGCGAAGTCATGGGTACGGAGGGGCCGGCCGCCGGAGACTGTGCTGCCTCCCCGGCAAATTTCAGATGCCAAGGCTCCAAAAAAGTCCCCAAAATGTCGGTCACCCCCAGAAGTAGCCTAAACCCTGAGGGCCCGACGATGCAGATCAACTCACAGACTTGCCAAATGAACCAAAAAAGGAGGATGCACAAAGTAGATCAACCCACCAGTTCCCAAAACCAACACAACCCCCCAAAGAATGAGAGAAACATGGTCCCATAATATTTAGATCAGCTCTCCAGATGCAACCTCTAAACCCCCAAACTTGAGAACGGACCTGGGATGTTGAAGATCCAGCTGCCGGGGATGCAGGTGCCTCGTAGAGGGAACACTTGCCCAGAGAGCCCAAGCTTCACAAGGAAGGAAAGCGCCTGAGTCCATAGTAATGATCCTTGAAGTGGTTTCAGCGGTTTACGGTTTAGCCTTCGGGTTGAGGGGTACGTCCTAATTGAGACTTTATATGGGGCTCTCCGGGCTAGAACGGGGCCGGGCCACACAAAAGATGGGGGGAAGGGGGGGGGCACGCCGATGCGATCGATGCTCAAGCTTGCGACGGAGCCCCCGCACCAATTAACCTTAAACCCGAAAGCCCGAGAAACACTGCCAGGCCCACCCTAAACCCTAAACCCCAAACCCTAAACCCTAAACCCCCTGTCGCCTTTGCTGGAAGACTTGATCCAAAGGAGCCGCCAGGAGATGGCAAGGCCTCGAACTCGGAACACGAGGGAAACGTCCAGAAGACCGCCAGCATCATGGATTTGGGGTTTCGGGTTTCGGGTAGAGGGTTTAGGGTTTCATTATGGTTGAGGCTTCAGGGTTGAGGGTTTAGGGCCAGGCTTCGGGTTTAGGGTTTCGGGTTTAGGGTTTAAGAATTAAGGTTTTAACAGACGTGACGCCATTCACGTGATGTTGTCTGCCGCTTGCTAGAGCATCAACACAAAGCAATCAGTTCAAGCACTCATGATTTCTGTGAGGCCTGAACCGAGTTTGGAAACTCGCACGCGGGAACCGGTTGGACTCCGAAGCAACCTTGACCCCATACCCCCTAAACCCTAAAGCGTTGTCGCATGGGTGAATGAACACGTGAACGATGTGCCAGAGAGCAGTCTTCCTGGCACTCTTCGAAAGCGGGGGTACCCCCAATAAACCCAAAGAAAACTTAGATCCTTAGTCTGAGTTGTGCTTTAAACCCTTTGAAAATATCTTATGAATAGGTTCCCTTATAAGGAAAGAAGGGAAATTAAAAATTATCCAACAGCACAACCCAGTAGTATAGGGACTCCCAAACAGGCCGGCGGCCTCCTTATCTGTTACCCTTATACCTGAAAAAAGCCCCTAGATACCCTAATAAGAACCCCCTACAGAAAAGAAACCCTACTTAAAGAGACCACCAACCAATATAACAAAAGAGGGTACCCCCTACTTCGCCTAGGCGATTTTTGGGAAACCCCCTGCATCCCAGGGCTCGGAACTCCCCATTGTTTCACTGAAGAAGTATACGCCAGTACTAACCCCTTATAAGCCCCGGAAGACATGACGACCCAAGATACCCATTCTGACTAAAAGGGTAAACCCCTGAACCAAACCCTAAACCCTAAACCCTAAACCTGTGTTAGCACAACGGGCACGGCCTGTGACCTTGAGGAATCTTGAGGTCCAACCGCTGGAGAAAGGGTAGCCTGGACAACGGTACCCGGAGAGCCCTCTGGGATTTTGGGTTTTGGGTTTAGGGTTTAAGACGGAGAAACGCTGCCAGTCCCACCCTAAACCCTAAACCCCAAACCCTAAACCCTAAACCCCCTGTCGCCTTTGATGGAAGACTTGATCCAAAAGCGCCGCCAGGAGATGGCAAGGCCTCGAACCGGGAACACGACTAGAACACCGCCAGTGTCATGGATTTGGGGTTTAGGGTTTAGGGTTTAGGGTTTCGGGTTTCGGGTTTAGGGTTTAGGGTTCAGGGTTCAGGGTTCAGGGGTTTTGGGTTTAGGACTAGGCTTAGGGTTTAGGGTTTCGGGTTTAGGGTTTAGGAATTAAGGCTTTTACAGACGTGGCACCATTCACGTGGCTGAACATATGTTGTTTGCTGCTTGTTAGAGCGTCAGCACACAAAGGCATGAGTTCAAGCCCTCATGGAGGTCTGTGATGCCTGAACCTGCGTGCGAAAAGCTAACTTCATGGCACTGTTCGAAAGAGGGAGTACACCCAATACACCCCAAGAAAACTTAGATCCTTGGTCTGAGTTGTGCTTTAAACCCTTGGAAAATTATCTATGAATAGGCTCCCTCATAAGGAAAGAAGGAAAACTTAAAAAGATATCCCAAAGCACAACCCAGTTAGTATAGTATAGGGACTCCCAAGAGGCACCCCCCCTATTGTGCCTGGGCTATTTTGGGAAACTGCCTGCATCTGAGCTCGAAACTCCCCATGGTTGAATGAAATACAGGCCAATACTATCCCCTACAACCCCAGAAGACATGACGACCTAAGATGACTAAACCCTAAACCCTAAACCCTAAACCCTAAACTCTGAACCCATGTTAGCAAGCCTGACAACGGGCACCCTGCCTGCGACCTTGCGGAATCTTGAGGTCCAACTGCTGGAGAAAGGGAAGCCTGGGAAAACGGTACCCAGAGAGCCCTGGGGTTGAGTGTTTAGGGTTTAGGGCTTTAGGGCTTTGGGGCTTAGGGTTTAGGGTTTAAGGTTCAGGCTTCCCTTGAAGAGCAAACCTTCAAGCTTATGGGCTCGATCTGACCTTAGCCCTAATCCAAAGGGGTCACCAGATGGGGATGTCCAAAATTAGGGGTACCCTTTCTGGGGTCCCGTTTTGGATGGTTCTTTTGGGGATAGATGGGGTACCCCTATTTTGGGAAATACACAGATCAGGCAAGACAGACCTGCATGATTGGGGGAAGATGATGACGAAAATTCCATGCACCGGCTCCGAGCGGTGCCGCAACGCTGGCGTAGACCTACCATACGGGTAGCATCTAATGAAGCTGCACCTGCTGCACACAATTTGATGCTCGTTCCAAGAGTTCAGGGCTTGAAGTTTCGGGTTCGCATGTTCCCCGTGCAGTAGCTCGGGGCACCAAACAAGTGCAAAGCTTTAGTTCAACCTGCCCAGAGGAACGACTGAGAAGTCGTACCTGCGACTTGGACGCATCCACTGGTCCGGATGCTGGCGACGGCAACACCTTGCATTCACCGTCGCAGGATTCCGCTGCAAGACAAAGCGAAAAGATGAGGGATTTCGGGTCCGGGGTTCAAGTCCTCTCGGGTTGACTGAGACCCGAAACGAAAACCATTCAGAATCAATCTACTGAGATGAAAACCCAAACTGGGCATCCTTCAAACTCAGGGATACAAGTTTCCAGGCACAAATGCCTTGTTGCTCTTCTGATGAGATGATTATGCTCACTGTTCACAGAAGGTGTGAATCACACAGCTACAGCTTCGAAGTACATGTGTGGAGGCTGCGACACCACGCAGCACAAGAGGTAGATTTCAGCTCTGGTCCACTTATACGAAATCCCAGCAGCCATAGCGCTGAAATAAGTTCGCCACGGAATACAATACTCAGTCTGCTGGCCTGTGAACTGACAGAACCAAATGGAGCAGCGCTGGGCGACTGTGCTGCCTGGACAGCTTACGGCTGGTTGTCGGGAACGAGGGAATGAGGCACCCTGGATCCCCCTAAAGGCCAGCTGCCAGCCTTTGAAAGTAATATAGCCTGAATAATTAGAATAGGTTTAGGGGGGTTATATAATATTTTTCAAGGGGACCATAAGGGAATACTCTTAGTGATTTTTCCGACCCTAAATTACCGCCATCTACAATCCCCACCCCAAGCATCTGCCACAAAAGGTCATATGACAGGACTCTGCTCTGCTGGTCGCACAGAAGCTTGACCGACCTGCGACCTTGACGCATCTGCTGGTCCGGCTGCCGGCGACGGTGGCACCTCACATGCACCGCCAAAACACATCTTTCCCGCCTAGTAGACTCCGGACACGAGGCTCCGCGCCTGGGACTTTATTGATCCAAATGGGCTTGAACTCGGAGATGGCGCTGCCTTCAAAAAGGCAATGATGAAGATGCTCGCAAGATCTCGCAAGCATAGGAGGCTCGCAAGCATAGGAAGCTCGCAAGCATAGGAACGCATACACTCTTGCGCTCCGCTTCTGCTTGTGACGGGACTCTGCTCTAATCAGCTTGACTGCACCGCAAACCTGCGACTTGGAAGTTGGTCCTGCTGCCGGCGACGGTGGCACCTCACATCCACCACCACACACAATGCAAAACGAATCGTTCCTGCGCGGCAACCAATGACAAAACCTGCAGACACGACTTCGAGGCTCCGCGCCTGGGACTTTATTGACCCAAATGGGCTTGAACTCGGGGATGGCGCTGCCTTCAAAAAGGCAAAATGATGAAGATGCTCGCAAGCAGAAGACATAGGAATGCATGGCGTGCACTGCTGCGCTCTGCTTCTGCTGCTTGTGTACATCTCGGTTTCCATCAACAGCAGCTCGGAGCATCACAAGCATGATTCTGGCTGCCATCGGCACTGCAAACCCGAACTCTGCTCTAGCAAACAAGCTTGACCGTCTCGCAAGCCTGCGACTTGGAGGTTGGTTGCGCTGCCGGCGACGGCGGCACCTCATATCCACCGTCACCGCAAGCTTTCTCTGCGACACAACCCTGTGCGCCACGGCAAAAAACTCTATAAGTATAGGGAAGCAAGCAAGTAGGCAAGAAGCCGCTGCCTGGACCGAACCACTGCATGCCTGTGAGGCCGGGAAATTGATGAACCCGAGATATCTCGGGACATTGTCCCAAGCTCTTCTACTCAGAGCTGACACAAAAAAGAGTCTGGAGGAAAATCCTAAACCCTAAACCCTACACCCCCACAAACACAAAACATCTCCTGTGGCACACAAGTACAGCAACTCTAGGATCGGGCTTAAGGTTTTCGGGTTTCGGGATGAAGCATACAACCCATCGCCCCGGTGACTCCAAGGTCCAAGTTTGCGTTACGCTGCTACACTGTTGAAGGTACTCTGCCCGCCTTGCGTTCAACCTTGTGCCATCTGGCCTTCTCTGACTGCGGTCAAGCAGCACTAGGCCCAGCTGACGCAGAGCTGGCGCTCTCCTACAACAGGGCGGCGCTGTCGTGAGGAGGACGCCACTCCACACGCAAAGCCTGTGACTATGCATCTTGTTACAACTGTTCCACGCTGTTCCCATGAAGTCAGGAAGCCTTGCGTCTAGGAGACGGCTGCACCTTAGCTTACCCCCAGAGCATGGAGAACTCTGGGGCTTCAGCAGGGTTCAGGGCTTCGACCGAGGTGTGTCGTGTCCATCGCAAAAGCCAGGCCCGACACGCTGGCCGCTGCGGAGTCGGTCGGCGTGGCCTGCTCAGTCGGGCAGTTAAATTGCGAAGCCGCAGCTCTGAAGTCTTTTTGGAGTTAGGGCTTAAGGCTTAGGGCGCACTAGGGTTTTTTAGGGCTTAGGGCTTAAAGGACTTCCGCGGCGGCCTCCGACTTGATCGAGGCAAGGCGACCCACTTGCGGCGAAAGAGCCTGGGAGCACAAACAGAATCAGCGCAAGATCAACCCAACGAGCCACGTAAACAAACCATCACCACCAGCAGGCTGCATGAAACCTCTTCGTGCACTGCAGCGATTGCGTGAGTGCCATCACTCTGCCGGTGCGCGAAAACCCAGACGTCCACGGAGCGGCGAGCTCTCCTGACGCCAACTCGTCTGGCGCAAGGACCACGCCAGTCCAGCCCTGTAGTTGTGAGAATCTCGTGACATCAATGACTCCGAAAGGACAACCTACTTGTTCCACCATCTGTTGCGCCGTCGCCTCCGCTTCGGCAAAACTCGAGTAGAAGTTGGCACAGCACCAACACGCGAGGGCAACACATGCGAGGTCGGCAAGCACTGCAATGCATCGCTGCAAACTGAGCTTTGGTGTCCGGGATCTCGCACGTCTGCAAAGGTGTCCGCCGACTGACCCGCACGGTCTGGCGTGCTGGCCCGCTGGAAATCTCGATGCCTCGGCTTAGCACGGGCCCTCCTCCCAGCGACCGGCGGGATCGGAGACGTGACAGTTGCACCATTCGCGCTGCGGCCAACCCGTGCAGCCATGGCCCGTAGCTTGTCCGCATCGAAGCGCTCGGGGTCATCCATTCTCCGCACTCTAGCTTCTAACCGCTTGGTCTCCTGTCGATTAGAAGGTGTTTTCCAAGCTGTAAGGGTTTGCTGGTGACGAGTACCTTCGTGATCGACAACTCGCTTCAAGATTGTGTGCTTCTTCTGCCGTGCCAATGAGAAGCCGGCCTGGGCGGCTATCGAGGAAACCAGTTTTTTGTAACGACCATCGGGGTCCGCTCCGCCCAAATAGTCACGATAGTCAAGAGGAACCCTCCGACAACGAGCAGCCAAACGCTTCGCAATATCTGTGACATGGCAATCGGCCAGTTCCTTGGCGAGCCCGCGGAAAAAAGACGTGTCACCAACAGGTCCTATGCCTTGGCCCATTTCCAAAAACAGCGCCAGTACATAGCAAGGCGAGCTGGCTTGGCGAAGTTGCCGCCAGACTCCAATCTCAAGGTGGTCCAGCGGTGACGAAGGAAGGCGCAAAGCTTCCATCCAGATCAATTTTGACTACCACGAGGGCAAGACGGCATTAGCAGCAGTTGAGCCTGCAGTAACGTCGTGATTCCAAACCCTAAGCCCTGTCAACCCCCATCAGGCCGATAACTTGGGATGTTCCCACTTATACTGACAGTCCTTACTAGGGATTTTTGTACCCTAGCCAACATCGATGTATGCTCGCGCGCAAATCTTTAGTGCAGCCGTAGCCAACATGTCGTCTATGTATCCTTGAGTCCTTGAGCACAACTCCATTCAGCAATACCAATAGGTTCATAGTTCACAGGGTCAAGGGCCAAGGAGCGTCGGGTATGTTCGAGTTGTGGGCTCCAACCCTAAACCTTACGCCCTAGATCCTACAGTCCTCATGAAGCCTAAACGATTTTGAATGTCATCCGCTTGAGCCATGCCGGCCAGGAGTTCTGCAATTCACACGGATCTGCAATTGGCTGCTACTAACGCCATGTCCAATTGCTGGTTACATGAAGCTGCTTCTCTCGTGCAGTTTTAGATGCCCAAATGGCTAGGGTTTGGAGGTTTCTGTATATGGTTCAGGGCCTTGTGCGCGTCCATAGCCATCAGTATCCTTCACGCCTTCAGAGTTCCCAGGTGAAATGCAATGAGGTTAGGACAATTTTGGGTTAGGTTCATGTTAGGGATTAGGGTTCAGGGTTTGGGGTTTAGGGTTTACGGAAGTCTCGAGTGGCTCCAGGCCCCATACAGACCGCAGACGCAGCATCTATTCAAAATCTATTAGCATCTATTCAAATCTATTCCTTGTCTTGTGGCACTTGTGGACTTGTGGGATTGTGGGGCTCCGGGCTTGGTGTTAGCTACGCGTCCTCAGCAGTCTTCACACATTCACAACTCACATGTTCACCAGGGCCGCGCTGAACACACAGCAGCACGGCCCAGCACGGCTACATAACGCCCTAAACCCTCAACCCGAAACCCTAAACCCCAAACCCCAAACCCTAAACCCTAAACCCTAAACCCTAAACCCTAAACCCCAACCACTCCCCCCCCCCCCCCAAAGAGCCCACCAGCCCCCCTGGCTGACAAGGCGCAGAAGGGGCCCGGTCGAGCGTGGAAGGCGGCTCGTCGCGAGGCGCAGGATCCTCGCACCAATCCAAACTACTTGGAGGTTTCATGGGTAGCTAGAAGTAGGGCCATTTAAGTACCCCTAAGTAGGGTTACGAGTATAGCTTATAGCCCTACTCATAACTACCCATGAACCTCCAAGTACTTGTACAAATACTAGTAGCCCGAAGCCAAGCCACAGTCCATGTAAAACCCTAAAACCCTAAAACCCCAAAACCCCAAAACCCACACCCTCAACCCCAAAAACATAAAACCCTAAAACCCCAAAACCCTCAACCCCAAAACCCGGAATCCTAAACCCTAAACCAGAAACCCGAAACCCTAAACCCTAAACCCTAAACCCTAAACCCTAAACCCTAAACCCTACACACGAAACGCATCTCCAGCGACCTGCACCGCAGCCTCGGCCTCCTGGGCCGCTCGTCGGCTCGCCTCCTGGATGTGTGAAGTTATCAGGGTGTAGGGTTTGGGGTTTGGGGTTTGGGGTTTGGGGTTTGGGGTTTGGGGTTTGGGGTTTAGGGTTTAGGGTTTAGGGTTTAGGGTTTAGGGTCTAGGATCTAGGGTCTACCCTGCACTCGTGAGCGCACTCTGCTAGCTCGGAGCTTGGGATGTGGGGATATGCGGCATTCGGTCCACAGGGTAGCCCTAAACCCTAAACCCCAAGCCCTAAACTCTAAACCCTAAACCCTAAACCCCTCAACCCTGAACAAGAACGAACACCCGGGAGCCCAACAACCCCAGAAACAACCCTTTCAGGCGCCTCCTTCCATGAGTCGGCCCGGACGCCTGCTTGAAGGTTCATGGTACTTACTAACCACTTAGAACTGTACTTATAACCCTACTTATAATACCCCTAAAAGGCCTTATAGGGGTTATCCCAATTATAAGTAGTGTTATAAGCCCAGTTATAAGTGGTTATTAAGTCCCATGAACCTCCAAGTGCCCAAGGAGTTCCAGGGAAGCTTGTGCGTTAGTACACAAAGGGATTCCAGGGATTCCATGTACAAGGGTTTAGGGCTTTAGGGTTTTAGGGTTTAGGGTTTAGGGTTTAGGGTTTAGGGTTTAGGGTTTAGGGTTTAGGGTTTAGGGTTTAGGGGTTTAGGGGTTTAGGGTTTAGGGTTTAGGGTTTTGGGTTTTGGGTTTAGGGTTTTGGGTTTTTGGGTTTAGGGTTTAGGGTTGGGGTTCAGGGATTTAGCACCGATTGAGTCACTGGAGCACGGAACTGGGCGCCCCACGCATGTCTTCATAGTCAGATGCGCAGTTCACCTTAAGGTCAATGGCATGCATTGCCGCTTTCGCACGCCACCTTCTCAAGCCTCTGCGCTCGAACCGAAAGGAAAACTCTGCTGCCAAACCCTAAACCCTAAACCCTAAACCCCCAAGAAAGCTTCTGGAAGGCACACAAAAAACTCAGGTCACCACAAAGGAGCACCACATGGGAGTTTTATGTAGGTTCCGCCTTAATTCAAGAGCACTGCCCCATAAACAGACCACCCCAAAAAGAGACCTCCAATTCTGGGAAACCCTTCTTGCAACCACATGCAACCTTCATTGATTCCAGAGTCCGAAACAGTAATCGCTAAACCCCGAAACCTGAACCTGGGGATGATCCCCCTTATACTAACAATCCTGAGTTGCTACTATAATCCGTATTAAGAACATCCCAACCTAAACTCCTAAACTCCATGGACATGGCAAAACCCAGCTCTGAAAGGCTGCGACAATCCGCTCCGCGACGTCAAAGTGATCGTGAGCCCTGCGACAAAAGGTACCCGGTGAGCCCAATACCGTATCCCCCGACTTAGGGGGGTTTAGGTTTAGGGTTTGGGGTTTAGGGTTTAGGGTTTCGGGTTTAGGGTTCAGTGTTCAGTTTGGGGTTTAGGGTTTAGGGTTTCGGCTTCTGGATTTTAGGGTTTAGGGATTAGGGGCTTAGGGACTGTGAGCCCAGTACCACTTCGGTAAGAAATACACATGACTGGAACTTAAACTATGTCTAGGATCCTTCACGTCATTTAGACCCTGTTCTTAATAAGGGGTATTATAAGGCAGAGAGCAAGAGAAAGGGTCCTTCCATGAATTTCCTTAATTTCAGGCATATGGCTTAGGCGATGCAAGGGATCCTTACCTTCACAGGGATCCTAACCTTAGCACTACAGCTTCTTGCGGGTCCGTCCGTCATGGCAGTTTGCCACCCTACCTGCAAGATACCGTCAGAACTGTGGCCCCGTAGAACTGCCGCAGGCAGAGTCTCTGGCCAAAATCTGAGGTGCCCGCATGCAGATATGCGCTTGCTGCTGCAACTGCTCTACCTGCCTGTCATCAGACACATGGATTGGATTGAATGCACTGTGCCGCAAGCGCATTCGCCGAAGCCTCTGACCGACTGGCATTGTGAATGGTGGGACCATGACTTTTGACCAGAACAGACCCATGCTGCAGCCTTCAGAGGGTGCACCCAGGTAACGTTGTATCTCATTAAGTTGCCTTCGATTGAACGATCGGTGCGTGCACAGCCTTGACAGCCCGGGCATGTACGATGCGCATTTCTTGTTTCAGCTGCGCTTGACATCCATGCTGTCCTTTTTTTCACTGCCAGAACAGGAGTCGGATGCGTCAGACACATTCAGAATCATTCAGACACACTATTTTCAGGTCTTTAACACATGAACATTGTTCGAAGCCTGGTGGCACAAAGCAGGCCAGATCGGCGTGTGCACTTCGCTGAGAAGAGTGTCCACCCAAGGGACCATGTCCTCACCTCAATCGAAGCCACGCGTCTTAATCATGCATCCTCGCAGGACACAGGCAACATCTCAGCTTCCAGCTGGGATCGTTATCAAGCGCTTCCTGCGGCCGGCACGCACAGCATCAACATGCCAAGTGTGCACGAGTTGATGCCAGCGCCTGCAACGGTTTCATCAAGTCTGCTTGGAGATGCTGCAAGTTCCGAGTCACCTGAGCACGACACCATGCAGCTGTCAAGTGAGGTAGGAGTTTGGCCACGATGTCAATAGCAAAGCATAGCGAAGCAGATGGTAAGACACCTAACAACAAGTGCGAAAGCAGCTGTCACCGTGCATCGGCACCTTTGGACCATTGGAACGTCTGGGCGCGCGCCCTCCTAACCCTAAACCTCTGCTACTTCTTTTTCTAAGTTCAGCGTACACCCTAAACCCTTAACTCTAAATCCCTAAACCCTTAACCCTTAACCCTAAACCCTGAACCCTACAAACCCGGACCTCGCGGATCTCGTCACGGGCCGCTGCGGGTGTGCCTGCGGCATCCTCAGCAACAGCAGTCGAGTGGGCTTAGGGGCTTCAGGGCGGGTTTAGGGTCTAGGGTTTAGGGTTGAGGGTTTAGGGTTTAGGGTTTAGGGTTGTGGAGGGTTAGGGGTTTAGGGGTTGAGGGATTAGGTTGGGGTTCTCGGGACTTGGGGGTTTGGGGCTTTCGGGTGCTTCAGAGCTCAGGGCTCAGGGTCGAGGGTCTCACTCTGCCTGTGCCCTGGGCGCCAGGCACTGCCAAATCTGTTCGCCGGTGGGCCCGAATCTGGGAGGAAGCGTCAACCATCAGGGTGGGGGGCGGGAGAGTGGTTCCAACATAGGTGCCCCCTTCTGTGGGCCCCCCCCTTGTTAGAAGTGGACAGCATCTCGCAACACCCCCCCCCGTGCCAGAAAGCGAGGATTCAGGGCTGAGAGGGGTCAGCGGCAGAACATGCAAGCATTTTGGACATATATAGCTTGTCTCTACTTTTCTATCTATCTTCATATGTGTGTTTGCATTTGTATATATATATATATATACATTTATTTATTTATACCTATATATACAGACCTAATCTTCTCTTCGCACAGTTGGAGGTTGTTATTCGTGATTAGGGCCCTCTTGTGGCAGCGACC